AAGTTGCTAGTGTAGAACATAAACTTAATTTGTTCAAGATGAAGATGAAAAATTAATATTTATAGTAATGGTAATGAAAAAGTAATAATATAATATAATTTAGCACACAAGCCGTAACCGAACTCTTTTTTTTGTTCTCTCTCTCCGTCCCTAACTGTCATGAAGCGCTGAAATAAAAAAATTGAAGTACCCTTTTTTATATACTCCACTTCTTCCTCTCGTTCTTGTTTTCATAGTATACTTCATCATTATTAACAATGCTAGGAAAAATGGATTCAATGACATTGAGACGGTATAAAGATTCATGTCAAAATACTGATCCTTTAAATTTAGTCAAGTTAGGTGAATGTATAGGACGTGGAAATTTTGGAGATGTTTATAAAGGGGAATTAAAAAAGGATGGGACTATAGTTGCAGTTAAGATAATTGATTTAGAAAGATCAGATGATGATATACCTATTTTAATACAAGAGATCAATTTTTTAAGAGATTTAAATTCTGATAAAATTACAAAATATTATGATACTTTTATTAAAGATGTAACTATGTGGATTGTTATGGAGTATTGTGGTGCTGGTTCATGTGCTGATTTTTTAAAATGTTTCAAGAAATTGAGTGAGACTGTTGTTGCTTATATTTTGAAAGAAACAACAAAAGGTTTGGAATATTTACATTCAAATGGTAAGATACATAGAGATATCAAAGCTGCTAATATTTTAGTTACTGAAAATGGTGATGTTAAACTTGCAGATTTTGGAGTTAGTGGTCAATTATCTTCATATTGCTTTAAGAAGGATACTTTTGTAGGTACGCCTTTCTGGATGGCACCTGAAATCATAAGCCGTCGAACGGGTTATGATGAAAAAGTTGATATTTGGTCGCTTGGTATCACAGCTATTGAAATGATCACTGGTTCTCCTCCTTATTCAAATGAAGAGCCAATGAAAACAATTTTCAAGATTCCTGAAAGAGATCCACCTATTTTAAAAGGAAATCAATATGGTAACTATTTAAAACAATTTGTTGAATCGTGCTTGAAGAAAAATCCAGAGGATAGACTATCTGCCACTGAATTATTGAGATGTAAGTTTCTTTACAAGGTAAGACATAGATATCCCAACCCACTTTTACCATTGATTAAGGAAAGAAGTACAAAAATACAAAAGTTTCAAAGGAAACCAAAGATACCTTTGAATTTTGAAGAATCACAAGTTGGTCAGATAATTGATTGGGAATTTGATCCAACCATCAAGCAACAGAGTTCATTTCGTAGAAGTCAAAAACAACAACAACAACAACAACGAAGAAGATTTGAAGATGATGCTGATAGCGAAGATGATAATGTTGAAGATAGAAGCGTACTTAAAGAAGTTAGTGCAGGTACTCCATCTACATCACCATTATGTTTCTATAGATCTGGTGATTGCAACAATGCTTCCATTTCACATCAACAACATAATATGGTTGATGAATACTCATCTGAAAAGGAAAATCGAGAACCAAACAGTGCTTTATATTATAGCTCATTGCTAACGAATGTTTTAAATAGTCGTAGAAAACTATCAAGTTCAAATCATATGAAACGTAAATTGGGGATTATTACAGAAACTTTTGAAGAATTAGAGGTGATGTATAGCGGTATTAGTGAGTTGATATGCCATGATCTTTACAATAGAATGAAAGATGTTCAATTATGAAATACATTCTTGTTTTTAGTTTTGCACTTGATGTAGGTGATAAACCCCTACTTCCCAGAATATTACTTTATCCCACTTTATCCCTAATTTGATTAAATAAACTTGCCGTAATCAAGCCGAATGATAACCGGTGAGCCGATAATGTAGTACGATCACGTGACACACTCATTAAAAAAATAAATTTCAGATGCCTGCTAATTATATTAATATTGAGTCTATATATTTGACTTGATTGCTATTTTTTGCATTCTGTATCTTTAACTATTATTCAATTATTTGGTTCCTTTTTAGTAAACAATTGATTCAATTATTTCAATTAATAAAATTTATAAATCATAATTAATAAAAATGCAAGCTAGAGATTGGTTATTAGCTTTTATTGGTATCTTCTTACCATTTGTTCCAGTTGCTATCAAGAGAGGTATTTGCTCTGCTGATTTCTGGATTAATATTGCCTTATGTTTCCTAGGTTTCATTCCTGCTTTGATCCATTGTTGGTATATCATTTCATGTTATCCTCATTCATCTAGTTCATCATATAAAGGTGTCACTTTACCTGGTAGAGAACCACATAACTATGGAAGTATCTAAATCACGTTTGGATTCATATCATTAATTCATCACTTTGATTGATTTCAATTTTCATCATTATATTGACAAGTATATCTGGATCTGTTTATTTACTTCGCTAAGTTCCAGTTGGGTTACGTTAGGTTAAGCTGGGGGTTTTATTTATATTTTATTTTAGTTTCTGGTTATCTTCTTTTTGTTCTTTTTTGTCCTTTGTCTTTGAGATTACCTTGTAATAAAGGTATTTGAAAAGCCCAGAACATATAATGTCATGTCGATTCATTTATTTACTCTAGTTTCAGTGTTTTTGTCAATTTAACATTAGTTTTTAATATGTGAAACGAAGTGTAGTTGTGAGGCTCTCACATAACGTAAATTATTTGAGGCTGTGTCTTTATTAGGAGTACATAAATATATATTCAAAGAGGGAAACACTTTATAATGTGGGCCATTGTCCCTTCTATCATTTACTGGCTAAACGGAGGTTGCAACAAGCATGAATAGAGTAATTGTCGTAGGTGAAAGCTTGGAATTGGGTCTGCATTCACCTGAAGGGACCCTGTCAACAAGTTTCAGCACTATCCTTGGAACATCTCTTGAACCAAAGGTAGATGCATTAACTGAGGAACAATTGAAGGCTAGCATCATCTTACCCAACATCAATGGGGTCAATGTATGTGATTTAGCAATCAAAGATCACACTCTAAAAAAGAAAACTAACAATCAAATACATATAGGTGATTTTCAAAATTTGTATCGGTGGAGAATTGATAAGCCTTGAGAAGTATCCAACTAGCTGTGAAATGATTCAACATTCATTGATCACAGGAATCATATGGGGTGATTTGAAATATGAAATTGGAACAAGCAAGGGAGATAATGAAGACGGTTTCACATGTAGAATGAGTTTGAAGGACAAAACTTTAAACGGCCAAATGTATGATGAGTTGACCGAGGGTATTGAACAAATAATGAATTTGAACAGGGTTGAGATCTATAAACTTGATGAAATCGTTATTGATATAGACATATCCGATCCTTCTTTGTTAGCATACATTTCCAAATGTCAACAGCTCGATAAAGATCTGTTAGACTGTTTATTTGGTCACTTGAACTATTGTATGCTTTGTAACTATTTGAAGTTGGAGGACTTATATCCTTTAGTATTCTCGTTTTATTCCAGACTTGCTTACATTAGGTCAAATGAGATCATGCCTTCAATTCAAGAATCATTAATTCGAACAGTAGAAACTAAAGATATATTGAAACAAGGTTTGATTGTTGGATTCTTGAAACAAATTTCTCGCATGACTTTCAAACAAATTATGAGTTCAATTGATAAAAGACAGGGTGAGAAACGTCGTTTGATGAAAGCCAAAGAAGAAGCTTTGAGATTCGAATTTTTTCAAGCTTCTTTATAGTTATATTTCAATTTTTCTAAATTTATGATTTCAGAGTTCAAAGTGTTCAAATCGTTCAAGGTCATATAAATCATAAGTGAGATCATAAACGGTAAGAAGAAGATAACATCTATTGCTTTATCAAATTGATGAAATTTGAATAATCCAATAAATAAAGCAAAACCAAGATTCATCTTAACTAAAGAGTCATTGCTCAATTGCTTCAAAATTTGCTGTGAAAATCCATAATTGAAAAACTCACTCTGAATAAGAACAACAGACCAAAGTAATGATACACAAGATAATGAACTTAAGATCTTATTATCTTTTCTATAATATGGTATGACAATAAATAACAAATTAACCAATACAACAGCAAATTGAATAACTTTTAATACTTTGACTGTTAATTCATCCAATTTTTGTGATTGCTTAATCGGTAATTTCTGTTTGAAATCACTTATTATAGTTTCTTGATCTTGAATGTCTATAGGCTGTGACAATTCAAAATCATCTTCATCTCTAAATACATATCTTGAATTTATAACTTTTCTTAACCTTGGCATATCAGGTGTTGAGCTTTACCAGTAATATTAACATTAGTTTAATGGTAATATGAGTAGACGAAACTACAAGCTTATTTTTCAAAGATGAAAGATAAATTCACAAACTTAAGTTCTAAGTGCGGCGTCGTGGACGTGAGGCTTTGCGACATTGTGGCTTTGCGACTATGAACAGAACGAACTTTCCTCCTTCTTTCCTGGATCATAATACCACAAGAAGGCCTTTTTATGATTCAAACATAAGTTTAACCCAAACATTCAAGCTCAGACATAATAGACGTTCATTCAAACCAACAAATTCACCTCTTGGTGGTCCGTTTGGTGGACTCAAAGATAGGCAACTTTGGAGGCTAATTATTTTTTGTTTAATCACTGTTATGAGCTACATTTTTTGGTTCTAATGGAGTCGCAACAGTACTATTTTCAAAGTGGAACTTTCATTATACATATAGATAGTATTTTAGCTTGATAAATACCATAAAACAGTTAGAAAATTGCAATTCTAACAGTCAAAAATATTTTCTCGAGTAAATTTCAATTTTTTTTTTCCTTCTTTAATCAGTGCTAGTGGCTTCAATATTACATATTTTGATAGTTTAGCGATACTTTAATAAACTTTGAAGTCTCTACAACATGCTTATCATTACAATAAGTCTAAAAAAACGCTACAGAGGGAGAAAAATAGAAAATAAGATAAAATTTGATGGTGCTGGTTGGCAAAACGTACTGAAGCTTAGGTAGAAACTTCACGACTGTCATATTTGCACAACGGTCCTATAGTGTAGTGGTTATCACTTCTGATTCTGATTCAGGCAACCCCGGTTCGAATCTGGGTAGGACCTCACTTAAAGTTATTTTTTTTTCCAACCTTCTTCACCTACAATACACTATATATGACGTTAACTTGTATATTTATAGTAATATATATACTTATGACATAAGTATAGAGCATCTAATAGTGAAAGAAAGCAGCTTAAAATTCCCGGTAAAATGAAAATAAAAGCTTACACAATCAGTTACATAATCAACCTAACATCGAAAATTTTTTCAAAATTCAATGTGAGTGAGTGAGTGAGTGAGTGAGTGACTGACAGACTGCCAGACTGGATAATGAATCATCGATAATATTTCATTATTTGTTATTATTCGACATTTAACTGTTTCTTATCGAGGTTTTAATAGGGATTAATCATTTAATCAATATGAGTTCTAAAGTTTACAGATCTACTCGTTCATCTACTGAACAATCAGTTTCATTTGAAGATGCTATCATTACTGGTTTAGCTAAAGATGGTGGTTTATTCATTCCATCAGTTATTCCAAAATTACCAAGTAATTTCTTGGAAGAATGGAAAGATTTCACATTTGAAGAATTAGCATTCAATATCTTATCATTATATATTGATTCTAAAGAGATTCCAAGTGATGATTTGAAAGATTTAATCAAGAGATCATATTCTACATTTAGATCGAAGGATGTTACACCATTAGTTAAGATTGATTCTAAAGATAACTTATACCTATTAGAATTATTCCATGGTCCAACATATGCTTTCAAAGATGTTGCATTACAATTTGTTGGTAACTTATTTGAATATTTCTTAACTAGAAAAAACGCAAACAAGTCTGAAAATGATGAAAGAGATATCATTACTGTTGTTGGTGCTACATCTGGTGATACTGGATCTGCTGCTATTTATGGTTTAAGAAATAAAAAAGATGTTTCCGTTTTCATTTTATATCCAACAGGTAAAGTTTCTCCATTACAAGAAGATCAAATGACTACTGTTTTGGATGATAATATTCATACTTTATCAGTTAAAGGTTATTTCGATGATTGTCAAGATTTAGTCAAACAAGTTTTCAATGATAGCAAATTCAACGATAAATACCATATTGGTGCTATTAACTCAATTAATTGGGCTAGAATTTTAGCACAAATTACTTATTATTTCCATGCATACTTCCAATTATTGAAAACCACTAAAGAAGATGACTTTAAAGTTAAATTTGTTGTTCCAAGTGGTAATTTTGGTGATATTTTAGCTGGTTTCTATGCTAAAGAAATGGGATTACCAATTGATGAATTAGTTATCGCTACAAATGAAAATAACATTTTGAATAGATTCTTAAACACTGGTAAATATGATAAAGTTGCAGTCAAAGAAACATATTCACCAGCAATGGATATTTGTATATCATCAAACTTTGAAAGATTCTTATGGTATATGATTAAAAGAACTGATGGTTCAAATGATGATTTAAAAACAGGTTCAATATTGAATAATTTGATGAAAGAATTATCAAGTGAAGGTTCATTTGAAGTTTCAAAAGAAACTTTGAAATTAGCACAATCAATCATGGATTCATCAATGATTACAAATGAACAAACTGTTGAAACTATCAAATCAACTTATAAGAATACTTCAAATAATTATATATTAGATCCACATTCAGCTGTTGGTATTTTAACATCATTACAAAAAATTGAAAAAGATAATAATGATTCATCAATTAAATATATATCTTTATCAACTGCTCATCCAGCTAAATTCTCTGAAGTTGTTAATCAAGCATTAGGTGAATTTGAAGGTTATTCATTTGAATCTCAAGTGTTACCAGAAGAATTGAAGAAGTTGAGTTCATTACCTAAAAAGATCAAATTGATCGAAACTGTTGATCTGAAAGTTCTTGAAGATGTCATTGTTGAAGAGTTAGAAAAAGAAGGTAAGAAATAAGATTTGATAATAAAAATATATTGAACTATATGTATATAATTACTAGTAAAATACCAGTAAAACGTATAGAAATAGGGGTTAAGTAGCCCAAACACGATTACATAACAGATTACGCAATCAACACTTTTATTCAAAAAATTAAATTTCGCTCAAGTCAATTCAAAGAGGACACACGAAAAAGTTGAAGGCTCTTTGTTTGTAAACTATTACTTTGAAGAGAGGGAAATATAGATTAATCGATTGATTAAGTGTTGAATATATATAATGTCATCGAAATATCAAAGAGAGAAGCAAAGAAAACTTCAAAGGTCTGCGATGTCGCAGTCTTCTCAGCAGTTGCATGCTCAGAACCAGCATCAACAACAAGCTCAACAACAACAACAGCAACATCAACAACAGCAGCAACAGCAACAACAACAACAACAACAACAACAACCTTTACAACCAACTTCAATCAATTTGAAACCTACAGATATTACAATATCGAAATCTTTAGAAGCATTATTTCCTGAAAAAATTGAATTATTTAATAAATTGAAAGCTAAAGAAAGAGAATTAGATTTAATGATTAATAAAAAAATGATTGATTTACAAGATTATCAGCAAGTTTTAAATAATGGATTAATTGAATCTAATGAAAAAGATGATGAAATTTTAAGAATTTATATTTATAATACTAGTGAAAATCAACCATGGCAAGAAAATAATGGTCCTCCATCATGGACATTAAGAATTGAAGGTCGTTTATTAAATGAACAAGAACCATTAACATCAATTGAACGTAAGAAATTCAGTTCATTTTTATCAAGTTTATCAGTTGAATTAAAACCAAAAGATGGGAATTATGAAAAAGAATTAGAAATATTATCAATTAATGGAGGATCAAATTCAAAAATTATTGAATGGCATGATAATTTTGAAACAAATGAGATTGAAAGACATAAACAACAATTTGATGGATTAGATGTTAAAAGAGGTGGATCATCAATATTATTGAGTGATTTACCAAAGGGAGAAATTGTCAATTCAAATGAAAGAGAAATTTCATGTGATATTGTTATTCAACCTAAAATGTATCCAATTAAATTACAAATTTTAAAAGAACCATTAATTGAATTAGTTGGATGTAATGAAATTACCCAACCTGATTGTATTCATAAAATATTCAATTATATCAAAATCAATAATTTATTTGAAATTAGTAATATTCAAGAGAAACAACAACAGGGACAAACACAAGGACAACAACAACAGGGACAACAACAGCAACAACAAATTGTTTTAATTAAAAGTGATGAATTATTATTTAGAATTTTCGAAATTCAATCGTTAACATTATCACAAATAATGGAGATTGTATCAACAAAATTATTAAAACCAATTGAACCAATCAAATTAAATTATAGTATTAATACATTGAAAAATACAACATTAGGGGATGTTATAATTGATTTGAAAGTTAATTCAAAATTAATTGATCTAAATTATAAACCATTTGAAGAAAAAATCAAATCAATCAATGAATTATTGAATGATAAATCAATTGTTGAATTGAACAAATTGAATGATAATTTAAGATTAAATTTACAATTATTAAATTATTCAAAATTGAAATATGAATTTTATAATAATTTCAGTGAAAATCCAATCAAATTCATGTCTAAAATTTTAAATAAAAATGAAGAATTTTTGAAAATATTATCAAGTGATTCAGTTGCATTTGATAAAGATGGTTTTATTGATGAAGAAATTATCAGAAGATCTGAATTTTATTCAGATGAATTTTTAAGTGAACATATTGGAACTTTATTTAATTCTGGTAGAATTTAAAATTTGAAAATTGTATAGTATATGTAAGAGTAATATAAACAAAAAAAAAAAAAAATAACTATATAAAATAAACTAAACTAAGCCTCTGTTAATAATCTTTTCAATTCATTCAACCAAGCTTCTTTGAAACCAGAGCTATAATCATTGAATAAACCTTCAAATGTAGGATATATCGTACGACCAACAACATCATTTGAGCAGCATCCTCCAGCACCACCATGATCATGTCCATGTGCAGGATCACCACCATGAGCAGTACTGTTACCATTACCATTAGCTTTCTGTTCATGTTCGTGTTCGTGTTTATTATTAGCATTGTTCACTTTCATGAATGACCATCCACAATCAGTAACGTATATTTCAAACAACTCATCTTCCAAAGTAGTCAATTTAATAAATGGTGGTTTATTATCAGGATTAATCAATTCAAAAGATCTGAAGTATTTATCAGGTGGATTTGAATATTCCTTTTCCATTTGTTTGAGTTCTTGTAATTGATCCATTGTGATGTAGTTTACTTAAATATATATAACTATATCATCCGACTAACTGGTAACTGGTAACTGGTAACTTCCCCACATAAAAAACAACGAAATTTGAAAAATAATACGAATCAAACATCTTTACACCAAAAACACCAACAATTTGAAAACGCGTTCAATTTTCATGTTTTTTGTTTAAAAGAGGTTACTTACTATATGTATATGTATATGTATATGAATGGTGTTTGATCTGTTCTTGTGTTATTGTTGTTGTTAGGTAAGTAGAGATGAGTAATCAAGTTAATTTCAATCAATTGGATATTGATAATGATTCTGGTTCTAATTCAGATTCAGATGGTGAAAAATCAGATTCTGAATTAACTATTGTTGAAGAGTATAAATTATGGAGGAAGAATTGTAGATATATGTATGAATTCATTAGTGAAACAGCATTAACTTGGCCTTCTTTAACTATTCAATTACTTCCTGGTGGTTATTATCAAAACAAGAAGAAGACAGATGATCCTAATTCAAATGAATATAAGATTAGAAATTTATTACTAAGTACTCATGTTAATGATGATGCTGACGATTTGAATTATTTGAAAATAGGTAGTTTCCAAATACCTAATTCATTATTTGGAGAAGAAAGTAAGAATACCAAATCAGTTAATTCAAAGCTTAAAATTAAGAAGAAGTTTGAGTGTGATTCAAATAATGAAATTAATCGTGCTAGATTTATGCCACAAGATGAAAGATTGATAGCTTGTATTGATGGTATTGGTGGTTGTT